AGGTTTCTTGGGGAGGAGGGTGGGATGTTGCTCCTCATACTCCTCTAAATAATGAGAATTTATTACTACACACAAGACATTTCCTTCCAATATCAGGAGGCTGGAGAATGGAGAGTTGTGCTCACAGAAAGCTGTTCCTGCTTGGTTGTTCAGACATTTAAGAGGGGCTTTCACAGGGGTCCCAAGCGAGGGGGAAGGAGCTTCCCCACAGCCTGGAATGCTCTAAGAGGGGCTCTCCCCTCCCCTGGCTCACCAGCAGCAGTGAACCAGTGCCCCATGTGTTTCCTGGCAGATTTTGGATGAAGTGGAGAAGAGGAGAGAGATGTCCCCGGCCCTCGTGCACCCCTTCATGCGCAGCGTGATGGAGGCCCCGTTCCCTGCCCCGGGACGCACCATCACCGTCAGGAGTTTCCTGCCCGGAGCAGGAGATGAGGTAACAGGGATCAGGATGGGCTTCCCTCTGTTAATGGGGTCTCTGGGGCATGCAGACTCTCTGCAAACTGTCCTGCAGTGGTGCTACCTGTAAATAGTTAGTCTGGGGAAAATGCCCTGAAGTCGGAAGGGAGGTTGTTACAGAAACCATCTTTCTGTGGAATCCCCCATACATTGGAAGTGATTCCCTGCTTTTTAAGGAGCAGCTGCTGGGGAGTCCTCAGTGCTGCACCAACTGCCTGGGCCATGGGGTTCCACTTAGGATCACAGAATATCTCAAGCTCGAAGGACCCACAAAGATGATCCAGTCCAACTCCTGACCCTGTACAGGACACCCCAAAATCCCACCCTGTGCCTGAGAGCGTTGTCCAAGCACCTCTTGAACTCTGGCAGGTTTGAGGCCGTGCCCACTGCCCTGGGGAGCCTGTTCAGTGCCAACCACCCTCTGGGGGAAGAACCTTTCCCTGATATCCAACATAATCCTGCCCTGGCACAGCTCCAGCCGTTCCCTGGGGGCTGTCACTGGTCATACAGAGCAGAGATTGGAGCTGCCCCTCACGAGGAAGCTGCAGACCACAATGAGCTCTGACCTCAGGCTCTTCTTCTCCAGGCTGAGGGGCAGCATCTCTGGGCTCCCCCAGCACTCTGGGTCTCTCTCACCCCTCAGGTGATGGAGCTCTGCCGCCCCTTGGACTCTCGGCTTGAACACGTTGACTTCGAGTGCCTCTTCCAGTGTCTCAGCGTCCCCCACACGATTCGGGTCTTTGCCTCCCTCCTGCTGGAAAGGAGGGTCATCTTTGTGGCTGACAACTTAAGGTAATAACTGAGTGGGAGTGAGTAGTTCTGTCTGAGGGATACTGTCACTGGATACTGCTATTTCTTCTGCCTTGGGACCTGTTCCACGTGCAAGCGTCTTTCACTTTTTGTAATCAGTTGCATTTGAAAACCTTCTGCACTTGCCACACAACATGTGCATGCCTGGAATTTGGAGTATGCTGTTTACACAAGAGGAAATATGTTTACTTTACCTTTTTAGTCTGGGTTGATGCTGTTTTAGCTCCCCATAACTGACTTTAAAAGTGAGCGCACGGGACTTCTGCTGCTGCAAACACGAACACCTGCCCTGAGCGTTTCTAACCTGTGGCTGTAGCTGAGACCTGAAGGAAACACTGACAACCCACCCTGTGCCTCTCTCACCTTTCCAGCACTCTGTCTAAGTGTGGCCACGCTGCTGTTGCAACACTTTACCCCTTCACCTGGCAGCACACCTACATCCCAGTCCTGCCAGCCTCTATGATCGATATCGTGTGCTCTCCGACCCCGTTCCTAATCGGCATTCTCTCCTGCTCCTTACCACAGCTCCAGGACCTGCCCATAGAAGAGGTGAGAAAGGGGTGAGGGACGTGTGACAGGACATTTAAAAAACAAATTTAAAAAAAGTTGGGTTTTTTTTTTTCTTCTGTACAGCAGCATACCTGGTTACGAGTCAGTGTGTTCTGTACATCTTTCCTCAGGTTCTCATCGTTGATCTTTGTGCTGACAAGTTCTTGCAAGAGGTGAGTGAGATAACAGCACCAGTCACTCGTGCAAGGAAAAGGCATCAATGAAAGAAAATAAAAACAAACACTCAGGAACAGCTGGTGTTCATATGTAGACTCCAGTGGCTGAAGAAATACCTTGGAATCCCTTTGGACTGAGAGAGAAGGGAACAAGCTTAAAAATCCCTTTTGCATGATATGGAGAGCTCTGCAAAGCCAAAGATGCTGCTTGTCTGAGCTGAATTTAAAAACAGATACCTGGTTTATTATGTGAAGGGGACCAGTAAGATTCTCTGCTGCCTTCTGGCTGTCTCTCCCTGTACTTGTTCTGTAAAATACTTTCTCCTCTCTCATCTAGCTGGGGTGTGTTTGTTGGTTTGGGTGGTTGTTTTCCCCAGGAGTGATAATCTAGGGAACAAATTATCACAGTTCACTCATGGCTGTCTGCTGAACTCCACCTAAAGTGCTTCTGCATCACCAGGCAAGGACCTACAGACACACTGGGATATTTATTACTAGTTCAGGAGGATATTTGTTTCTCCTTTCCCTTGCCTCACTGTCCTGTTTTGCATTGCAGCCTGCAACTGGAGAAAGGTATTAAAGGATTGGGGTTTTTTTTAAAATCCCAATTTTTGGGGGGAGGGTTGAGACTTGTCGTATTTTCTCAACAGACTTGTTGGTTTTTGTTGTTGTGTGTTTTATCACTGGTGAAATAAGCCTGGGTCCGTGTCATGTGTTCTGTGTTGGCCAGTTGTGTGTGTGGCTCTAACAGAACGTGTTTGGAGGGTGCTGAGCAAATGTTTTTCATTTCTGTGGCTACAGAACAAATTACACTGCTCCACCAAGATCCACCATATCCCAGAGTAACTCCCCTCTAACTGCTTTAGGCACGTTGTGGATATTTCTGTTCTGTTCCCTGGTTCTGCTGATGATGGATCTAACACAAAAAATCCTTCCTTGGCCAATATTTGTCCGTAGGTGTCAGATGAAGACGAGATCTTGCCTCATAAACTCCAGGCTGCACTTGTACAAGTCTTGGAAGAACGAAGTGAAATCCTCTCACATGGGCAGAGTGACATGCAAGGTATTTCTGTGGAAAATTTTCTGTGGAAAAGTGTTCTTTAGCAGGTCTCTACAGGTATAAAAATGAGCAAGATGTTTGGCGGGAAAAATGATATTTTGAATGTTTTAACTACTGGAAAGGCTTTAGAATTGAACCTGTCCCAGCTGCAGCACAGAGCTGACGTGGGAAATTGAATATTTGAGCTGTGACTTGTTTGATATCAAAGAGTCACCCGAGATTTCATAGTCTGAGACAGCCAGCCCAAAAAATAACCGAGGTCACTAAAAAAGCTGCTCCTCCTTTAGAAGAGGAATGACCGGAGTGACGGGAAATCCCTCTGTGTCCTCCCCGCAGGTGACGTGACCCTGAACTCCCTGGTCTCTGAGGCTTTTGTGCAGTTCTTTGTGGAGATTGTTGGGCACTACTCCCTGCACATGAACGTCACGGAGAAGGGGGAGAGGGTGTTCCAGCGGGAGCCCTTCCGCAAATCCCACGTGTCCCGCAACGTGCGCCACTTCCTGCAGTTCTTCATGGAAACCCAGATGTTTGCAGGGTTCATCCAGGACCGGGAGCTGAGCAAGAACGTGGTCAAAGGTGGGTTTGCTCTTCCTTCTTGTCCTGGAAAGTTCTCCTGTTGGGGTTTTGGCATGTGGAATAGCCACATTCTCTTCCAGTTACTCGACAAAATTCATCTTACAAAGGAAAGAGTTTTTGCACCTCTCCTTTCTGGGCTCAATCCTGCAGGTTGTAGACACTACATGCAGGATTTCCTTTCATAACCTTGTTAGTCATTGAAGATGCCACATGGTAAAAGGTGGAGTAGCTCATCTAGGTGAGTGATTTTTAATTTTGGTGTTTTTTTTTTTCTCTTTAGGCCTTTTTGAGGTCCGTGCCTTGGAGTATTTGGAGAGTATTCCAGAGACGGAAAGAACTGGAATGAACAAAATCCTTCGCAGCCTTGGTAAGGAAGACCCTTGATTTTTGTTGAGTTTTAAATTTTTTAATTAATTTTAGCTATGGAATAATTAATTTGATGCAAAGGAGAGCAGGTCCCCTTCTTTGCCTTATGCACTTGTGTTCCTTTGTTTACATTTGCCCCTTGAGGAGATGCTGAATACTTTGCAAGATGTTTCTTTTATTTTTAAACTTATGCATCTTTATCCAAAGTTTGTGGGAGATGATCCTTAAGTGTGATCCTGGCTGAGGACACACTCAGGGGGCAGAAGTTGTATCTGTAGCAGAGCGTGGCCATGTGTGACTCGGCCAGATACTTCTGGAGTGTCTCCAGCTCACAGAATCATGGAATGGTTTGGGTTGGGAGGGACCTTAGAGCTCATCCAGTCTCACCCCCTTCCACGGGCAGGGACACCTCCCACCAACCCAGGTTGCCCCAAGTCCCATCCAACCTGGCCTTGGACACTTCCAGGGATGGGGCAGCCACAGCTTCTCTGGGCAGCCTGTGCCAGCGCCTCCCCACCCTCACAGAAATCCCCTAAAGCTGTTTTTTTTTTCTCCGCAGGCAGCAAAATGAAATTTCTCCAGAAGAAGTGACCGGGCGCTGCTGCGGGACAGCGGCGGGACCGGGGCCGGGCTCTCTGTGCGGGATGCGGGGGGGGGCTCTGTGTGTGTGTGTGTGTGTGTGTGTGTGTGTGTGTGTGCGTACTGCGTTAACAATCATCTCACGGATCGCGATCCCGCTCGTGGATCAATAAGAACCTCGTGGATCCAAACCCTTCCCGTGTCTCCGTTCCTGGCGGGCGGGGCAGGGGGCGGGGCCAAGGCTGGGGCGGGCGGGGCGGGGCCGAGCCGGGGAGGGCGGGGCCAAGGCTGGAGACAGACAGGGAGGGAAGGGGGCGGGGCCTGGCGCCCAGGATCGAGAGGGGCGGGCATCTGACTGGGGAAAGGGGGCGTGGTCTGGGTCGGGGAGGGCGTGGCCGGAGCGGGAGGGGCGGGGCCTGCTGGAGGAGCCGCGCGCGGCCCAGAGCAAGATGTCGGGCCCGGGGCTGGTGGCCGGGGACGTGGTGGTGGATGCGCTGCCCTACTTCGACCAGGGTTACGAGGCGCCGGGCGTGCGGGAGGCGGTGCGTGCGGCGGGGCTGGGGCGGTGGGAGGTGGGGCTGAGGCGGGCGGGGGGAGCCGCCCACCCCGCCTGACGGCCCGTGTGCGTTAGGCCGCGGCGCTGGTGGAGGAGGAGACGCGGCGGTACCGACCGACCAAGAACTACCTGAGCTACCTGCCCGCGCACGACTACAGCGCCTTCGAGGTGAGCTGAGGCCCCTCTTGTGTCCCCTCCTATACCCCTAAACCCCTCCTGTCCCCCCCAAGCCCCTCTGGCGTCCTTCCCCCAGATCCCTGTGGTGTCTCCCCCACATCCCGACTGGATCCCCCCTCCCTGTGCCTTCCCCCCAGACGGAGATCATGCGGAACGAGTTCGAGCGCCTGGCGGCCCGGCAGCCCCTGGAGCTGCTCAGCATGAAGAGGTGAGTGAGTGGTGGCTGCCCTAGGTGAGCGGTGCTGGCACAGGAGCCGTTCCCGGGTGGGTGGTGGCCCCCAGGTGAGCGGTGCCCGTTGCAGGTACGAGCTGCCAGCCCCCTCCTCGGGGCAGAAGAACGACATCACGGCGTGGCAGGAGTGCGTGAACAACTCCATGGCCCAGCTGGAGCACCAGGCCGTGCGCATCGAGAACCTGGAGCTCATGTCCCAGCACGGCTGCAACGCCTGGAAGGTGTACAATGAGTAAGGCCCTCGGCTGAGTCCAGTCCTGAGCTGGACTGCTGTGTGTTTGTCGTGTTTTCCTGTGTGAGTCCAGCAGGGGCTTTGGAACATAATCTGGAATAGCTTTGGAACGTAATCTCCCTGTGAGAGAGCTGTGAGAGCAAGAGGAGGCTGATCTGAGGGAGAAGCAGCCCTGTCTGTGGGCAAGGAACAGCCCACGTTTTGATACATCCCCATCTTGAGTTTTCTGACTATTTGTGATAATGGACTTTAAACTGAGGAGAACTAAAGGGACTAAAGACAGCCTGAGAAAGAATAATTCAGTGGTGGAAATAAAGATGAACTTACCCAGCCTGGAGCATAATCAAGCTGCTGCAAAAGCAAAAAAAAAAGTTTCAGGGCGTATTGCTGCAGGAAACAGCAGGGCTGTTTCAGGCAGAGAATGTTAATATTTGTTTTTGAGAAGGGTTGGCTGAGCTTTAGATGAAGGAATAGGCAAAAGGAATGCAAAACCCAGCTCTGAGAGAAGGCAAAGGGTTGCTTAGCTCAGGAGAGGGGGAGCAGGTAGAGGGTATGTTATCCAGAGCAATGTGTTTGGGTAGCATTGGGTTGTTGTATCCTTAACTCTGGAGGGTTAAATGTCAGGTTCAATGACATTTTAACTCAGCAATTGTGCATTCTTCTAATGCTTTGCTTGCATTCTGCCATCAGACACCTGGTTCATATGATAGAACAAGCCCAGAAAGAGCTCCAGAAGTTGAGGTGAGTCATTCATGTTTCCATGTTGAAATTGGATTCATACTGAAATTCTTCTCCCAAGCTCTACAGAGGCTGCTGCCATTGTCATAGGAAAAAAAGACTCAGTAATAGCAATAATTAACAAAAGTGACCCTGCCCTCGCCAAGCAGTTACATTGATAACTGCGATTTATCCCTCTGCATGTTGTCAATGGCTGCAAGAGTGTTTTCTGGTAGCACCTCTAAGGATTAATATATTTGGAAATTAGCAACAGATGCTACAGATTTTAAAGAAATGAGGGAAAAAAAAACTACACAGATCTTTCTCTCCCCAGGAAAAACATCCAGGATCTGAACTGGCAAAGAAAGAATATGCAGCTCACAGCTGGGGCCAAGCTCCGGGAGATGGAATCCACGTGAGTGTCAAGAAGTCTTCTGTTAAACCTTGTGGTGTCTCTCTGCTTTCTTAGTTGTCTTTGATTTTTAAACCAGGGGACTGTTAAAAAGCACTTAAAGGCTTCTTTTTTATTTCCTTTCCCTTCCAGGTGGGTGTCTCTTGTCAGTAAAAATTACGAGATCGAACGAACGATTGTGCAGCTGGAAAATGAAATCTCCCAGATCAAACAGCAGCACGGGGAAGCAAACAAGGAGAATATCCAGCAGGACTTCCAGTGACTTCATCCTGACCGTCTCACTGCAACATGGGTTAAAAAAACCCCACAGTACAGGAACTTTGGAGATGCTGTGGTTGGTGTTGACCTCACACAACTGCCAAAAACACAGCGTCTCCAAAGTTTCTGTTCTCATTGTTTCTTTCCCTTGTTTTCAATTCTAGGAGGAGGTAGGGTGGACTCAAAGTGTCCCATTCAAATGTATTATAGGCAAAGTTAAATGTACTGTGAATTGCTTCAGTGTTTATATGCCCAGAGCAGGAGCTCTTCAAAAAACCTTTCCATGTTTTTGCGTTTTCCCCGTGCTTTTAATAAATCTCAGTTTGCTATTTGTGTGTGGTTTGTGCTCCACGTTCCAAGGCGGCCTGAGAGCTGCGGAGTTAGGGGGCTGTGCCAGGGGAACCCCCACATCGCCCTAGGGGTGGGTGGGTGAGTGGGTGGGAACTGGAATTTGGGGTCAGTGGGAATGGGCCAAGTCAGGCAGGGGCTCTGTTCCCTATCCTGGTCCATCATTCCCCATCCTAGTGCTCTGTTCCCTATCCCGCTCCATTATCCCCTATTCCCGGTGCTCTCTTCCCTATCCCGGTCCATCATTCCCTGTCCCGGTCCATCATTCCCTATCCCCGGTCCATCATTCCCTGGCCCGGTCCATCATTCCCTATCCCTGTTCCCGCTCTCCCGGGGGCGCTCCCCGTGGGCGTGGCTCTCCCTTTGCTGGCCCCGCCTCCCATCACCGATTGGCTGCGAGACCGCACCACACCCTGCCCGCCCATCGTGACGTCACCGCCCGTCTCCCACCCCCTCCCGTCCGCGTCCCCGCGGCCGCGGGAGCGCGCGCGGGGGGGCGGGGCGCGCGCGCGCGTGCGCGGCGGTGACGCGCGGTGACGCGGAGCGTGCGCGGAGCGGGGGTCGGGTTCAAAGGAGGAAACATGGCGGAAAACAAAGGAGGCGGCGGCGGAGGGGACGCGGCCGCCGAGGCCGCGCCGGGCGGCGGGGGGGGCCCGGACCCGCCCTGCGCCTCCCCGTCCGCCGCCGCGCCGCCCGAGGAGCGCGACAGCCCCGGCGCGGCCGCGGCCGAGCGCGGCGCCGGCGAGGCCGAGGCGGAGGCGGCGGCGGGGCCCGGCGCGGCGGCGGGGCCCGGCCCCAGCCCGGTGCCGCCGCTGACGCCCGCGGCGCCGGGGCCCTTCTCGCTGCTCGACACGTGCGCCGTGTGCGCGCAGAGCCTGCAGAGCCGGCGGGAGGCAGAGCCCAAGCTGCTGCCCTGCCTGCACTCCTTCTGCCGCCGCTGCCTGCCCGAGCCCGAGCGCCAGCTCACCGTGCCCGTGCCCGGCGGGGCCAACGGCGACGTGCAGCAAGGTGAGAGCACCGCGGGGGCTTTCCCTGCGCGGAGCGCCCCGCCGGCAGCGCCTCGTCCCGGCAGCGAGCGCGGGGTTGTCCCGGCCCCGGCGCGGGCAGGAGCTGCTGGTGCCCCGGGGATGCCCGGGGGGTGCTCCGCGTTCCATGGGTTTTCAACGCGCGTGGAAGGAATGGAGCTGTTGGACGGGGCGCAGAGGAGGAACCGGGGTGATCAGAGGGATGTGGAGCAGCTCTGCTGTGGGGAAAGGTTGGAGAATTGGGGTTGTTCAGCCTGGAGGAGAGAAGGCTCCGGGGACACCTTATTGCAGCCCTCTGGTACCTGAAGGGGTGCTCTGTAAGAGTACTCGAACGAGTACTTTAATAAGAAAGGTGGGGACAGACTTCTTATCAGAGCCTGTTGTGACAGCACAGGGGACAGTGGCTTTAAACTGGAGGATGATCTGTTCAGATTAGATTTAAGGAAGAAGTGTTTTACAGCGAGGGTGTTAAAACACTGGCACAGGGTGCCCAGAGAGGTGGTGGATGCCCCAGCCCTGGAATCATTCAGGGTCAGACTGGACCGGGCTCTGAGCAACCTGTTGGAGATCCCTGCTCGTTCCTGGGGGGTCGGACTGGATGAATTTTAAAGGCTCCTTCCAACCCAAACTATTCTGTTTTGGCTCTCAGGCAGGGACTGGGCAGCCTCAGTTCTGCAGCAGTGAGGTAAAACATGTCTAATTAACACCAAACTCACTGTTGTTACAGTGTCACCTGCCCAGATGGGAACAGTGTGTCCACTGCACCTGCTTTGCCGTGTCTGAGATAAAACCTTGCAGAGCTGTTTGCCTCTTGAGTTGCTTATTCCCTGCCCAACTTGTGCCAGGGAATGAGAGTACCCTGCTCCTTCCAGGTGTTCCTATCAAAATCACAGCACGAGTTTGTTTTTTTATTATAATTATTATACGTTCAGGGATGGAATTGAAAAGCTTCTGGAGCTGTAGATGGGATGACTCACGTGCTGTGGTGTACAGACCAATTTAGGGCCTTGGTAAGTGGTTTTACAGGTCTTAAATTGGACCCTCTGGTCAAAGAGACCTTGTTTGGTGACATCTTTGGACTCAAGTGTTTCCTGTGTGGCACAGTGAAGGAATTAAAATCTGACTTGGTAGTGATTCGCTCATCCAAACTGTTCAGAAGTTCATCTAAGATGTGCTCTCAGAAAATTCATTAGTTTTAAAAAGATGATTAAATATGGTTTGTAAATACACTCACTAAAGCACTGAGATGGTCTTGTGGTCCATCCTTTTAAATTCCAGGTTTTGCATTATATCATAGAATCAGAGAATGGTTTAGGTTGGAAGGGGCCTTAAAGATCATTTTGTCCACACCCCCTGCCACGAGCAGGGACACCTTCCACTAGCCCAGGTTGCTCCAAGCCCTGTCCAACCTGGCCTTGGACACTTCCAGGGCTGGGGCAGCCACAGCTCCTCTGGGCAACCTGTGCCAGGGCCTGCCCACCCTCACAGGGAAGTGATTTGCTGGTGGAAAACACAGAACTTGGCGAGCTGGGTCCATTTTATTAGCAATTACAGGATTATCCGTGTCCTGCTGTGGGACACAGGTGTGGGAGCAACACGAGGTGCAGCTCCTGCACTGTGTATAGACTGGAATATCACTTCTTGTAGTGCATGTTTTAGGAGTGCTTGTTGGTTTGCTTTGGTGTAGGAAGAGTTCATCTTTGGATTGCTGCAGCAGAAAGTTTCAGATGATGTGAGTAAGATGTGGGGTCTGGAGCATCTCTGTTGTGAGGAGAGACCGTGGGAGCTGGGCCTGGTTAGTCTGGTAGAGACTGAGAAGGGATCTCATTAATGCACATAAATATCTGCCAGGGGTGTCAGGGGATGGTGCCAGACTCTTTTCGGTGACAGGACGGGGAGCAATGGCCATAAACTAAAAAACAAGTGCCACCTCAACACAAGGAAGAACTTCTTTCCATGGAGGTGGCAGAGCACTGGAACAGCTGCCCAGGGAAGGTGTGGACTCTCCCTCTCTGGAGACATTCCAGACCCACCTGGATGAGTTCCTGTGTCACCTGCTGTGGGTGACCCTGCCTTGGCAGGGGGATGGACTGGACGATCTCCAGAGGTCCTTCCCAACCCCAGCTATTCTGGGATTCCGTGTAGGGCCTGGGAGAGTGTCCTGGTAAGGATGTGTGTGATCCATCTGCAGAGATCCATTCCTGCCTGGACACAGGAATTGGCCAGCAGGTCAGTAAAGAGCCAGCCATGGACCAGCAAACGGACTTTTGTGGACAGTTCTCTCTGCACTTTGTGAGTGGAATCAGTTGAGTAACACACGAGACAGTTACCAGTAAATCAGATAGAAAATGGGCATTCTCAGCCTACAGAGAAGTACCACAGTGCTTAGTCATGCAGGTTCGTTCCCTGTTTTGGTAGTCACCAAGTGTTACTTCCACTTCTGCTGTTTCTCTGGTCTCTCTCACCAAGAGCAGGTGCTTTTCTTGAAGGAAGAGTTAATGAGAAGTGGTACCTGGAGCTCTACCTGAAGCAGGTTACACTTTACTGCTACAGGTTGGTTCATATCTGTTGCACTGGTGAAATCATTGGGTTTGCTCCTGTTTGCGTATTTGTTGGGAGAAAAAAAATAGAAGTTTCCTGTTCTATGTATTTTAAACATATATATTCTTCTGTGCTGTTTGTTCAACATAAAAAAATAGCATCTCATATTCAGTTTAATGTCTTAATTGGTCATTGGAATGCGAGTTTTATTTGGTGGATAGGATGATTTCTTAATGCCTGGTATTTCACCTGCCCAACTGGGCTCTTACTTTCAGACTGAAAAGGTTACAAGGAAATGTATTTCTATCCCAGTATTCTGAAAAATGCTTATTTCTAAGTTAGAATTACAGAGACTGTAAAACAACTTTGCCTGCTCCTGGAAGATACTTTGTTTTGTGGTTTCACTGCCTGGCTGAGATATTTACAATCTCTCTTAAGAAGATTACCTCAGTACAGAGAATGCGTGGCTCTTCCAGCTCTTTGGGAATGTCGCTTTTCATTAGGCTGAAAAACTAAACAAGAGTTGCAGGATGCTTTCAGAGAGCCAAGGGGGAACATCCACGGTTTGGTTGTGTGTGTAAACTGAGGAACAACACGTTTACTACTCCGTGCTGTGATGTGTGGTACCATGAATTAGTTGGATATGCTGAATTCAAGTCCCAAACCCAGCGTTTGTGTGTTTAGAAACCGTGTATTAATCACATCTGAGGTTATGCAGTATCTGTTTTTAATTCACTCTGAAAGGGGGACATCAATGATGGACATCAATGGGTGTGAGAATGTGACGTGTCCCTTACACCGAGTCTGGTGGTAGTTCCTGCATTTTCAGTCTAGAAGAATAATGAAAATTCCTGCTTCAGACAGACCTTTTAAGCTGTGTAAATGCAGCATCTTAATTCCAGTGGATGTGAGTACTCATCACTTACAGAACTGGTAAAAAGCAATATGTGCTTCGCCATTGCCTCGGACGTGAAGCAAAAAGCTTTAATTGAAATGCTGGGAAGGGCAAGTTGCTTTAATTGAAAACTGCTAGAGACAAGTTGCAATAATTAAAGAATCGTTAAAGAGAAGATGGTTAATTAAGAAGAGTATTTTTAATTTAAAAAACTGTTATATGGTAAGGGCTTCAGCTGACCTCGCCCTCCCAAGGCAGGTCTAGCAGGCGAAGTTTGCTCCTCCACTCCAAGGCAGTGCTGAGCCCATCCTGGTGGGAACCCCTGTCCTGTGCTTCTGGTAATTTCTCTTGGCTTTTCCTCCTTTTCTATTTCCCTTCTTTCCCTCCTCTCTTTTTGTTTTGGGAAATAAAGCTGAATTATTATTTTGCGATCCAACATCTGGCCTCGTTTGTGCCAGGAATTTTCAAACTTAACTCCTCTCTGCGTTTCTGGATCGAGGCAAACTTTGCCTCTCTGCACCGAGTGGGTTGGAACAATCACCTGAACTCTCTTGATTGTTTGGTTTTCTCTTGTGTTAATAAGTGAGGGTCATGAAGCTGAGCTGGAGCCCAGCACCAGTCCTGAAAAATGGTCAGTTCCTATTCTGGGCTTCCTAAAAATCTTGTTGTGAAACTTAAATTTCAGTCTAAATTAACAGTGCATTTTAAAGAATTTTGGTCTGAGAACATTCAGGCATATTTTATTTTTGTAGGAATTAATGTCTGTGACTGCTATGAATTGTGTTTTCTTATTAAATATAATGTATTGTACAGTTGTGATTTAAGCAAGGATTGTTCAGAAAAAAGTGCTGAGTTAGAAGTGGGCCTTGAAAGAAGTTAATTTTTTTTAAAATGTATTTTTATTCTGACGGGTTTCAATCTGATTGTTTCACTGCCTTGACCTGTGAGGGGTTAAATCAAGGTCTAATCACTGAATTAGAGCAGGGTTTTGATGTATGGCTGTGCAGAAACTGCTGGACCCTTGCAGTGCTGAGAGAAGTAAATATTCTGCACGTGTAGGAACTGTTATTGGTGTTCTCACCCAATAAATGAGACCTGGCAGAGAGTCATTCCTGAGAGGGCTGATAATGTGCCAAGTTTGAACTTAAGACGGAAGCTGGAGTTATTAAATTGCAAGAGTGTTTGCAAATATTTCCTGAACTGCGAAGTTTTATCATCATTGTAACAATGTAAACATCTGACAGGACTTTAATTATCCCCTGTTCACATGGACACTCTGTGTGTGGAATCAGCCTGGCACATTGCAACTAAAACAAACCTGCCTGTGAGACCACGTGTCTAAAATAACCTTGGTCAGCACAATTGGGATTGTGGAAGATGGGTCGCTTAATGGTCAGAGGGTGACGTGGCAGAGTTTACTAATTGATGTCTCCTGTGTTTCAAGAGAATTTTAAAAGCCATTTGTTCAGGACGAGTGGGATGGCAGGGCCAGGTGTGTCCAGCTCCACCTCCTGCTGGGAGCCGGTCTGGTGAGAGGAGGATCCTCAGGGAGCCTTGTCCAGGTGTGTGGGGGCTGTGCTGGGGTGGCAGCAGCACAAGGAGCCTCTGCTGCGGTGTTTGACCATCCTCCTGTAACACAGGAAAGATTTACTGCCTTGTTCCTGCTTGTACTGTCAGTGCTTTTGTGGAGCTGACGTTGAAGGAGCTGGATCTTGTGAAAATAGGAATTTTACTATGTAAGTGGAGATATTTAGGAATGCAGGTGTTTGGGTTCAGTACCTCTGGTTTGATCCTATGAGACTGAAAGTGCAGAGAATCAAATCTTTCCCCTTCCATCTCTGTAGCTCTCAAGCATCCTTAAAATTTGGGAGTATGTTGGTGTAGTTGGGATGAATATGTCAGCCTGGAGAAATGAATTCTGAGCAAGTTCTGAATAATTTTCCTACAGAAACTAGTTCAAGATGAAACCTGTTGAAAAAAGCTACCTGTTTGGAGATGCATGCAAATAGCCCTCAGAGGAGCATAATTAGCCTTGAGGAATTTTAAACATAAATATGTACAAGATATTCTCAGAGTTATGAGTTGCAATTAATAAAAGTATTTGTGTTGCAGCTGGAGTTGGGAGCGGTAGATCAAAAGCATCTTCCATTTGAAATACCTGAAGTTCTTTGCAGTGTTCCATTGTGATTTGCTGCTGGGTTATGATGGAGGGGCTTTTCAGCAGCCTGCCTGTTTTCACAAAAACAAAACTACCTTTTATCCTCAATTTACTGGAGAGTTTCGTGCTCTCTGCCGTCCTTTGATGTCTTGTGGTCTGGTTGAGCGTGCTTTATCTAAATCATAAGCAGTTAAAAGGATTACAGGGATGCTACTCTCATTAGTGTTCTTAAAAGCTTTGACAAATAAGAGGATCTGATGTGCAATGTAAGGAGATGCGAGTGTAGCAGTTGTATAACTATCAACGTGTGTAGGAAAATTTGGGTTCTTGCATCTCTTTGCTCTGACAAAACCCTTCGCCTTTGTGTTGGTTCTCAGCTCCAAAGAGCATCCCAGGTGAATGGCTCTGTCTGCCCCTGTCAGGAGGTGTTCCAAGGAATTTGGGAGTCCTTTCTCCCTCGTTCCAGGCTGTGGGAGAGCTCTGGTAGGGAGGGGAATGGCTCAGGATGTGAGAAAGTGAAACCCCTCTCCCTCTGAGGGGGGTTGGCAATGCAAGGTGGGGTTCTCCTGCCTGCTGGGTTGGTGACTCTCAATCCAGATTTCCAGGTAAGAAGCTCTTCCTGCTTCTCACTTCAGTCAGCTTTAGGAAACTCCATTTAGGCTACGTGTTGTGGTTGTAGCAGCAGATGGGAGGCAGGGAATGTGTATATTTGAAAACATTTTTGCTCTTCTGGAGCGAACTGTCTGAGAAAAAGCAGAGCTCGTTCTGAACCACATCATGAATTCTTCTTTTTTCAGCACCTACTCTATAACTGTGTTCCTGCAGTTAATGCTGAGGGCAGTATTTTGGTGACACTGTGAGAAAGGAACTGCTGTACAGAATGTTTTAGACCCCCAGTGCAAAGTTTCACGTGGTGTGGTCGGAACTTCCCGAAAGAAACTTCCCTTTTCTCAGCTCTTCGCTCCAGTTCTGCTCCTGAGCTCTGGAGCATCGATTTGTGGCTTCAGAGGAATATGAAAACATCTGTGAGGACGTTGGAAATCCTGATGGTAATAAGTAGGACTGGGGGGAGATCATAAATTAGTCTGACCTTCATAATTTATATGAATGTGTCTAGTTCTAATTCAGCTGCAATTTAGAAAAAAAAAAAATATTGATCTTATGCTGATATGTTCCTTGGAAGGGGTTACTTGGCTTTTTGGAAAGCAGAGTTACGGTGGAAATGTGTGTACCAGGACTAACGTGTTTGATTTGTTTGATGCAGAAAAACAATGTAGTAAGTTCTTCTGGAATATAAAAACAGCGATACTTTCATATTTGCTTTTATTTTCTCATATAAGAATTTTTTTAATAGAAACTGGTAGTGAAACCTTGTTTTTTTCATAGGTTATATAAGCATTTGACTCTTAGTTTGTCCTAAAACACATTCTTACTAAATTTTTACAATAAACTTTGTTAGCTTATAAACTGTCTCAAGTTTTGACAGGTGAGGATTTTTTTCTTTGATGTAAGCATTATTTCAGTATGATTTTCTCTACTTTTCCCTCCCTCACTCACAAAATCAACCACATCTCTATCTTGTCAGTGCTGCAGTTCAGTTTCTAGTATAAAAGGTGATGCAGTAATTGTTTTAGAGTAGATTAAAAGACCAGGATATGAGGTGTTTAGTGGATTCCATCTTTTCATTCATTTGTCTGCTTAAAAACCAACCCCAAACTTGCCTTGCAGGAAGGGCTTTGCATCTGTGGAATTTGACTTGTTGCTGTGTGAAGATTGGAGATCTTGGGCTTGCTCTGTTTTGTTGTTTTCTTACGATATTTCGTGTCTTTGACCCAAGGCAGCACTAAAATAAGGTTTAGTTGGGGTCTGGTTGAGGTGGAGCAGTTTTAGTGGTAAATATCTGAGATTTTTGCTCTGTAAGAATATATACATCAGCTCCTAGGTGGCTTTCATCCAGGAATTCCTAAAGGATTTTGTCTCTAAGAAAACCTCAAGTTTCTTCATACAGGGGAGGCTTCATTGAGTGTGTGAAAGCTTTTGTACACTTTGATGCTGCAATATTGGTTATTTTTCACATCCTGCTCTTGAGATGTGTTCAGTTTGATGAGACAGGGAATTTTTAGTTGGATTATTGTTGCTCTGCAGTGAATCTCCTGTGTTCTGAAGCCATCATTAATTTCAGCACTTGACAAAATGAATGCTACTTCACTACTAATGTAATTAAACTCTCTGAAATAAGTCCTGCTGTCCTAATTGAATATCCACAAAGGAGCTGAGCATGACTTAATTACACTTCTCAAAGTTGGTTCGGGTGTTTCAGTGTATAAAAATATTTCCAATGGCTTGGAAATCTTCTCCTTGAGAATTATATTCTCAATAAATTGTACAGGAATTTGATTTAAGATCAAATGACACTTCTGTGAAGCAAGTATGAACCATTACCTTGGTGATAAATAGGTTTTCAAACCTTCATGTAGGTTGTTCATAGACACCTTTAAATATCAGTTTGCTTCATGTAGTAACTTTTTTTGCAGCTCTGCTGAGGACATAAAACTAAGTTAGTGATCACAGAGGATAACGAAGCAAGGTAGTAGAATTTTATTGCTGCATCTGCCTCCCTGACCTCATGGAAATAGGTTATATTAGAAATCTTCCTCTGGAAGAACACTGGGACTGCCATGGCATTTTCAGGAACATCACTAAGTCACCCCAAATCTCTGGGCACACCCCTCTTAATGCTTGTCTTGAGACAGGCCGGACCACAGACTGTCACAACAAATAATTAACAAGTGTTAGCTTTGCAATCTGAATTAAATATTTGCTTGGAGAGAACAAATGGCTAAAAATATGCATTTTTTTTGGGGGGGGGGGGGGGGAGGAGAAATAAACAGGAAAAACTGAGTATGATGTTGAAATCATCACAGCTTCATTCTGGGTGAGGGATCCTTTCCTGGAGAGGGGGGTGGGTTTCGTTGAGTGGTGTATTTTTGGGGATTGAAACCTGTTACAGCCTGGTGGTTAAGAGCAATGTCAGCTGTGAAATCTGTCGTGAAAGGATCAGTCTGAGGGGTTTTGTGTTCGTTCTTGTCACCTTTGCCTGTTGCAGTGGGGGTGATCCGGTGCCCGATCTGCCGCCAGGAGTGCCGGCAGATAGACCTGGTGGACAACTACTTTGTGAAGGACACCTCGGAGACGCCGAGCAGCTCTGACGAGAAATCTGAGCAGGTATGAGGTTGACCTCTCCTCAGATTCACGTTTTATTCCTGGTAGTGCCTGGTGGTGCTTCCCCAGCACAACGAGCGTGTATTCCCTTGGCAGGTGTGCACGAGCTGCGAGGACAACGCCAGTGCCGTGGGGTTCTGTGTGGAGTGTGGGGAATGGCTGTGCAAGACCTGCATAGAGGCTCACCAGAGAGTCAAATTCACGAAAGACCACATGATCAGGAAAAAAGAGGACGTGTCTTCAGGTGAGTGTTTGGGTTTTGCTTTGCCCTGCCCCTTATTAACGGTGTTTTGGCACTGAAAGTGAAAAGAGAGAGGGAGAGGAGGATTTAGGTAACAACCAGCTGTGTGTGGCTTTTCCCAAGGATTTGGGAAAAAGTTTAGTAAAAAGTTACCAGTGCAAAATTAGTAGGTCTAAACCTTAAATTATTAGCTGAGTTATCAGTTCATACTTTGCACAGTTTCATGTCCAATGGAAAAAATGCTTTTAAGTGTAGAAGCCAAGGGAGTGCAGCCTTTGGAAAGGATTTAGATCCAGTCTCAATAATCCTGTTTAGCAGAACAAGTAACTAAATGAAGGGGTTGGAATCTGGAGAGCACTGACATATTGATAATCCTATCCATTGGGAAGGAAATTAAATTACATGTTTTGCTGTATTTTGTTCTAAGGAGCAATTACAGCTCTCCCAGTGGACAAGTATATACAGATAAGCTTAGAGTCATATTCAGTATGATCCTGTTGTATTGATATTGCTGAGCAAATGTGGAATTCGAGTTTATTTTAGGTTTAATCTCCCAGTTGGGAAAATTTAACGTGAGAAGTGTGTGTAGAATTTGTTCAGACTTTATTAGAAGTTAATTCTTAAACTGTTGTTTTGTTATATGTGATTTGTAGCCTACAGAAAATGTTCTCAAAACAGGTCCAGGGAATATGGATTTTAGCTTAGAAAATTTGGGTTGTAAATGGGTTAAAAGTTCTGTAGGTTCTCCATAATCTGGATGTATATGAAGAATGATCATATTGAGGAAGAGAGATCTTGACTTTGCTCACTCTCTCCATTGAAAATGGATTAAGACCTTCATGATTACTTTTTGTATCCTTTCAAAGGAGCAAACACTGCTTTTCTTTCTGCCAGCACTTGTCAAAATCATATTAATGTTAAAAACTTTGCTGTTGAGCTTAGTTCTTTTAGACAAGGGGTTTTTTTTCACTTGTTTTAGCAAACAAACTTCACTTTGGGAGAGGCTTCTCTGTATGTCTCAATGAATATCTTTTTAAAGGAAATATTACCCATTAAAGCTTAAATATATTAAATCTCTAGATGAGAAACCCTTAAATCAAATTACAGGGCCTGACAAAGAATTACTGATGTTTTTCCAAGGAGTGCTAAATTATGACTAAGGTGATATTATAGCTCAGCTTTCCCTTTGATAACCTGACTGGGAAGGTGCTGAAAAATGACTTCCAATAAAATAAACTTTCCATCAGAAATTTTATTTATCATAGTTATGGGGAAGGGCTGGTCATTATTTTTTATTCTTCTTGGACTCAAAGATGTGCCCTGGAGACTTTAAATTTTTCTTAATGAGTGCCAACTGGAAATTCATCAGCTCTCTTTCTTCACAATAATTTGCATGATATAACAAGCTTCAGAAACATTGGAGACTGAGGAAGACCATCCATGTTTTAAACCCTACCTGCTGTATCTTCCCAGGGCTGCTTTCCTCTTTGCTAAGCTCAAAATATCTTTTAGAAAACCGTGCAGCACCTTTTAGTAAACTCAGAGCTATTTTTGGACACCGTTATTTGCTCAAGTGGAAAATTGAAGCAGTTTAGGTGGGGTTTTAAGTAGCTCCTGACAGACAGTGTTTGCTTTGCAGTTACCTCTTGGTTGTGTTTGACTTAATGGGATGTGTAAAGGGATAATTTAGAACACCTATGGGTGTTTGACAGTTTATTTGAGGGTGGGATCCATCCTTGATTGTGCCAGAGCTGAAATCCCATGGAATGAAATCTTTAACCACGTGTACACCTGGTGTTTGTGTGCAGTTCTGCGTTCTTACAGGTGTCAGTGCCTTTTGGGTGCTGGGGAGAGGAATTCCTTCTGCTCCTTGAATAAAGTGGAAACAGCTGGCACTGTAAATCAGGAAATCCTTAAGGTTGCAAAAGACCTCAAAGGTCATCCAGTCCAAGCACTGACCTAAGGTATTCACAGGACCTTTAGGCTGAGAACAGGTCTGGAGTTGTAAGTTTGTGGTTGTTACTTAGCTTGGGATTTAGTTGTTTTGCCCTTCAGATTGTCCAACTTTTATTTTAAAACACACAAATGGTTTATTTTTAAAAACAGAGGCCGTGGGAGCATCTGGTCAACGTCCTGTTTTCTGTCCTGTGCACAAACAAGAGCAGTTAAAGCTTTTCTGTGAAACCTGTGACAGGCTGACGTGCAGAGACTGTCAGTTACTGGAGCACAAAGAACACAGGTACAGATATTCCCATGTCTTCATTCCTGTGCTGTGCTGTCTCAGAGGATGAAATGGCACTGGTGCAAACCAGTGGTGTCGTAAATACCCTTGCATTTACTCCTTGTTGGACTGAAACGATCCCTCGCCAAGGGAAAACGTGTGGACCGTGACTTGAAGTGATCAGTTGGTCGAGCTTTGTCAAACCTCTTTAAGATCAGATTCGAAACGACATGGGCTGAGGAGATTTGGTGTGGTTAAGGTGTGAACTTTCCCAGTGCTGTCACTCAGCTCAGGACTTGAATGGAAATTCCTGCAGCCCTGAGCAGCTGGTGCTGTGAAGGAGCAAAAGCGATACAGTGAGTCACGGCTGAGGTCATTTTTTGAAAGGGCATATTTTATTGTGCAGTGGTCTTTCAGTGCAGGGGAATTTCGTAAAGGAAAGTCTAAATTTTTCCTCACAGATGAATATATTCTTCTATTACGGAGGGTTGGTTTTAGTTGGTCAAAAGTTGTCGCCCCGTTCCAGATGAAAAGAGATGCTGAGTCTGACTCTGCTGCCCGAAAAAGTTGGAACCTCTTAGGATACATTAAAACTTCCTGCTCTTTAGGAGCTCTGTCCTATAGTTGTTTGAATGTCTGAACAAGTGTTTTTCAGTGTTATAATAGAGAATCTGGAGATAAATTCATATTTATCAGCCACAGCACCACTGCTTTTTCTAGTCAGGCTACAAATGAGTCTTCTCTGTAAAGGTGCAACATTGAATTTAGTGTTGTTTTTCCCAGAGTAGTTGATTATTCCCAGACTGCTACAGCAGCCTGTGGAGAACTTTTGCTTTTGAAATTAATACTATTAAAATATTAACAACCTCAAATGTTCCTGCTCTGTTCTTTCACAGGCTTGATCCTAAATATCCTGGAAGACACCCTTGTCACAAAGTGTGATCTTCTGGGATATGTTCACTAACTTGTTCTAGTTGGTTTCTTTGCATCTGTTTTGTGCGTGTTGCTAATGGATTAACAGATGGATCTTGTTCTTCTTACCTGTGCTCTTCCAGAAGGAGAAGAGGATCCTTTATGGGATCCTTTAATGTGTGTTTAAGTGATCAGTGCGTTTTCCTCAACAAACTCTGAGGTTCCTGTATCTCCTTGAGCTGTTATTCCATAGCTTGCTATCCTGGGAAATGATGCAGTACATCCCTGTGTGGTTGGAGTTGTTGTTTCCCACAGAGGTTCAGTTTTATGGGCGCTAGAAAAGGATTTTATCAGCACTAAAAACATTTTTCACACTGATCAGCAGATGCAGAGTCTGATTTTTCTGCGTGTTTTGTCTTTTTTTTTTTTTTTCAAAATGTTACAGTTTTACCCCTGAGTTGGGAACCCTTGGTAATTGGTGTCTTCTCTTGCCTGTTGTTCAAAAGGTACCAGTTCCTGGAAGAAGCTTTTCAGAACCAGAAGGGTGCAATTGAGAATCTTTTGGCCAAACTTCTTGAGAAGAAGAATTATGTAAATTTTGCAGCTGCCCAAGTTCAGAACAGGTAAGTTCCCCAAAAGGATTAACTGTTAACTTTGCCTCTTTACTGAATCACAGCAAGGTGAGTGATGGGATTGGAATAACACATTTGGGTTGATTCTGTGTCTTTAGTTGCATTGGACTTCATTTTCATAATGGTTTCTTATCCCCTACGAGACAGTTGGAAGTCGTTAAACAAATATCAAAGGTTGTGTCTTCTGTGGCATCTTTGAGTAGAAGCAAAGATGTGACACATTTATTACACTTTGGGGAGGGGGGAGAATAAAAAAAGGCAAGGAAACCCATCTTATGGTTTCTCCTTCATTCAGCTCTAGGTGACAGAAGGGTTGAAATACTGAAATATTTTTATGTTTCAGATGAATGCCTCTGATAACTGCACAACAAAAGCTTGGTTTGACTTTGACTAGGAAATTGTGGTTGGTTGTGGGGTTTTGTTTGGGGTTTTTTTTAGGGCAGCTGAACTTAAGATTCCCAGGGTTTGCTCAAATTCAACGTCATGTTCAGTACTGAGTGTAGAGACAGAGCACGTGATCTCTGCTGGCTTTTCACCCACTGTGGTGACGTGGTTGTGCTGCAGCTCAGGGAATTCCCCTGTGATTCTCGGGGCTTTTATGAGCCTTCTGCAACTTTCAGGTCATTTGCAAAATGACACATCATCTGGAGGTGGAAAGTACGAGGGCAGGAGGACGTGCACCACAGGTATAAGGAGAAGTTCTGGTGGAAATTTGAACTGCTTGTGGTACCATGTACATTAAAAAACTGTAAGAGAAGGTGGACATATGACAGAGGCAAATGTGTGGAGGTGGAAGCAGTGAAAGTTGAAATTTTTATGTGCTGATTTCCATGGAAGTCTTTGCACTGTCTGACAGTACATTTCTCTCTCTCTTTTTTTTTTTTTTTTTTTTTTTTAGGATAAAAGAAGTAAATGAAACTAACAAACGAGTGGAGCAGGAAATCAAAGTGGCAATATTCACCCTCATCAATGAAATCAATAAAAAGGGAAAATCTCTCTTACAGCACCTCGAGGTACAGTTAAGGGAACGAGGAGTGTTCGGTTTCCAGTCCCCTCTTAAGAACCCCCACGTTTGAAAACAGTTTGTGTGACGTGACTGCAGGTGTTGCAATGCTAATATTGCCTCTGAGCAGTGTGTTGGAGTTAAACCTCTTGTTTATCCTTTCATAAGAGCCTGTGGCTCCTTTAATGTCTGTGCCTCATATTCAAAATCAGGCTGATTGTAAAGGAGCATGTGAAAATCTCCTTTTCATGTTCTGTTTGCCATGTTTCTGTATAATAATGTAGCTCTAAGGTATGTGTAATGTAATATTTTCCTCAAATAGCTTTTTTTAAGGTTCATGTAAGAATAGACACAGCAGTCTTATGTATTTTTACATGAAGGTGTAAAGCTGGTATTTAAAGTTACAGAGATTGGAATAAAGGAGACAAAGACTTCAAGCATCCTTTCCAGATAGCACATCCTGAATAATATTTACATCCCGACTTTTATTAAAATCCATGACAATGTGACTTATTATTACTTCCTTTATCTGAGAGGAAATCCATCATAAGAAGGTAGTTAATTGCATATGGCCAGTCTGCCATGATGGGACTGAAAAATTTAAGATCAAGTGAATTACAATAGATTTTTTCTGGTTAAGGAACAATTATGTGGCAAGGAAATGGAACATTCCTGGAAGAAAAAAATAATTGGATCATGAGTAAAAGAAATAATTTAAAATTACATGAATTTTGACTTTTCTTGATTACCTAGTGTTTGTTACAAGCTAGAAAATCGCTCCCCCGGTTCTTTGTTGTGCTGCTGCGCCTTGGAAGAAATTGAGGGAGAAACTGGTCTTGTTTTAATTGCTGATAAATTTTCTGGGATGAAGCAGAGGCTCTTCTCTGAGCCCACAGTCATCCCTGCACTTTGATAGCTCTGGGAAGAAGGGTGGAAGGGAATATTAGAGAATGATTGATGGTTCTGGCACCCTGAGAGTGAGCATCAGTAAAAGCTGCATTGCTTGGGACATTTTCCTTTTGCTCCAAGAACTGGGATAGCGGTTTGCATTTTCCTCCTGAACCTGAATCCCCCACCCCGTTGTAATAAACGTTTTTGTTTCTTTGTAGAATGTAACAAAGGAGAGGCAGATGAAGTTAATACAGCAACAGAACGACATCACTGGTCTGTCACGACAAGTGAAGCACGTGATGAACTTCACGAACTGGGCGATCGCGAGTGGCAGCAGCACCGCTCTGCTCTACAGCAAACGGCTGGTGAGGGCACCCTCTGACTGTCAGCCTGGACTCTCCTGAGCTGGAAGGGATCACAGGATCATCCAGTCCACCCCTGGCCCTGCACAGACACCCCAAAATCCCACCCTGTTGCTGAGGGTGTTTTCCAGACTCTCCTGGAGCTCTGGCAGCCTTGGGGCTGTGCCCACTGCCCTGGGGAGCCTGTTCAGTGCCAACCACCCTCTGGGGGAAGAACCTTTCCCTGAGATCCAACCTGAGCCTGCCCTGACACAGCTCCAGCCATTCCCTCGAGTCCTGTCAATGGTCACAGAGAGCAGAGATTGGAGCTGTCCCTCAAGAGGAAGCTGCAGCCCCTGATGAGCTCTGACCTCAGGCTCCTCCAGCTGAAAAGGAGTGACCTCAGCACACCAAGTGACCTCAGACACTCCTTATATGGCTGTACAGACTGAGCTGTACAGTTCAGAGAATGATTAGTCAAAAAAATTCCTAAGTATTGTTGCAGCTTCACTAGATCATATCCAAGGAAGAGACAATGAGTTGTTTGTGTGTCATTTAATAAACTAAAATCCCCCTTCTGTAACAATGGGATAGATTTCCCAACTTGAACACCACTTTTCATTTCTAAGTTAAGGATTTAGGGTTATTACTGTAGAAGGAATGGGGTCACTTGAGTCACTTGAGTCATTGCATTACTATTATGATGTAACAGTGCTGCTCTGTAATCCTCAGAGTAAAAAAATGAGTTGTACAGTGGATGATTTTCCTGTGAATTGAAAACTTTCCAGGCTGTGAACCAAACTTGCTGTTGCCAGTCCTTGTTGGTGTTTCCCAACCTGGGCAAATGCACCCTCCTTACTTCTCTTCCTGCACCTCTCCTTTGTCACCAACAGTCTGCTTTTGCTTCCCATCAGATAACTTTCCAGCTGCGGCACATTCTGAAGGCGCGTTGTGATCCCGTCCCGGCTGCCAACGGAGCAATCCGCTTCCACTGTGACCCCACCTTCTGGGCCAAGAATGTGGTCAATTTAGGTGAGAAAGCTGGGGGTGTTAGTTCTGTGTCACTTGAGGAACTCAGTTGAGTTGGGGGTGCAGTACATCTGTACTGAAGAGAGTCATCTCTGTCTGTCTTGGCTTTTAAGACCGTGCAGTTCCAGTTCTTTCGCTCCTTCCTCGCTAATCATGTTTTTTAATTTTGCAATTTCTTCTTGTAATCTGAGTTCTCCTTTTGTTTCTGTCACATATGGTTACAGAGAATTAAAAAGGAAATTTCAAGTGTAAATTGCTTTTTTTACTGCCACTGAGGAAACTGCAGTAGAAACGTGACTATTCTACATTTATCAAGCTTTGGATGATGATGGAGATTTAACTGTTTACTTTTTTGTTTTGTTTTGTTTTGTTTAGGTAACCTTGTCATTGAAAATAAACCAGCCCCTAGTTACACTCCTAACGTAGTGGTTGGGCAAACCCCTCCAGCAACAAACCACATCAACAAAGCTCCAGGACAGATCAATCTTGCACAGCTTCGACTCCAGCACATGCAGCAGCAAGTTTATGCCCAAAAACACCAGCAGCTGCAGCAGATGAGGATGGCACAGCCATCTGCCTCCGTGCCCAGGCAGAGCAGCCCACAAGTCCTCCAGCAGCAGGTAAGCGTCTTGCGTGTTGTTATTTCACTCAGGCTTTTGAAATTGCCCTGTCAAATATAAACTTAGAAAAAGCAGTTTTATAAACTAAAACCTTTCGAAATTTGACATCCTTTAATGTGATGGCTCTTGGCTTTGCTTGATGTTATGTTAGTAGTAATCCTACTACTGTGGGAAGAGATTGGCTTCTTTTCTCCGTGTTGAAAGCAAAAATTTTAAAAAACACAAACCCTTGCAGCCTCCCAGGTTGATCAGCATGCAGACCATGCAGAGGGGTAACATGAACTGTGGGGCTTTCCAAGCACATCAGATGAGAATGGCTCAGAATGCTGCTCGTATACCAGGAATACCACGCCACAATGGACCTCAGTACTCCATGATGCAACCTCACCTTCAAAGACAAGTATATCCTGTGTACACGCTTCATTTGTGCCATTGTGCCAGACTTTCATTCCCAGTAGATGGTACCTCCAGCTGTAAATGTGTTTTATCTGTCACCCCTGTAAACTCACAGCCGCCCACATTTTCTGTGCTCTGCCCCGTTGCAGATTGTGCGGTGACATTCGGTGATGAAACCTTAAAAGTGAAACGTGATATTTGTGTTGCCTTTTAGTTCTGGGAAGCAAAACGTTTCCTCCTGCACTCTTGCAGTGATGTTCAGCTGTTGGGTTGCCTTAGAGAATGCTGAGGAGTAGCAAAGTTCAAAGTGGTGCAGCTGAGGGGTTTTAATTCAACCAAATTCTGAAGTGTTCTTAAATTTGAACCTGAAACATGATGCAGAGCTCTGTACTCTTTTATTAAGAATAAAAATTATTGATAATGAGTGTTAATATGAGTTAAAAAAAATCAAAAGTGAGTTTATATTACTTGAAACAGTCACTTTTTTCTTAAAATTCATAGAGAGATATATGAACTCTAAAGTTGTCTTTGGAGGAAGTAATTGCTTTAAAAATAGTATATGTGAAAATATTTTGGTGGAATATATGTGCTGTACGTTTAAATATTTAGCCACATAGTGTTTTTCTCTTTCCAAGTGAAGGGAAAGAGCAGTTGCTTTGCATTCAGTGCTGTCAGGTGACGTTGGTAGATGTGAGTCGGTGTGTTTTTGGTTGAGGTCTGTCACACGATGCACGTGTTGCGGTGTCCCTGCAGCGCCTGCCCTGTCTGTGACACAGCCCTGCTCTCTGCTCTCTCCCTGCAGCACTCGAACCCTGGGCATGCTGGGCCTTTTCCAGTGGTTTCTGTGCACAACACCACAATAAACCCCACCAGCCCCACCACAGCAACCATGGCCAGTGCGAACAGGGGGCCCACGAGTCCGTCCGTCTCAGCCATCGAGCTCATCCCCTCCGTAACAAACCCGGAGAACCTGCCTTCCCTGCCAGATATCCCCCCCATCCAGGTCAGTGGGGGTCAGCAGGCACTTACACTGGAGTGATCTGCTTCCCTTTCCATTTATTTTTTTATATTTGGATACCACTGTGTGTTCTGTGGAATGATAAAATTGTCATTGAAAATTTAAATCAGAATCTTCAGCCTTTCACACTGGGGCTGTTTTCTCCATATAGGGTTGACCTGCTCCACGTTTTAACCTGTAGATTAATCAGAATTTAATGTTTGTCAGACAGTAAAATTGAGACTTTAAATAATCCCAAGTACTGTGTTACTTTCCTTTGTTCCACAAGGCCATCCTGTGGGAAGATAACACTAGAATAGTTGAATAGTTAAGATATCACTAGAATAGTTGAATAGTTAAGATATCACTAGAATAATTGAATAGTTATGTATCTTGAGTGCCCTGAATGGTGATTTATTCAGGGTTAAAATTGCCTGGAGCTTCTCTGTGATATTCCTAAAGGTAGCAGAGGCAGGAAGCACAGAGGAAAGGTGTCCCCCTGCCCCACAGAGAGGGGACATGAGCTGAAGCAGATTTTGAAGTGGAGCTCATTTGGAGAGGTCAAAAGAACAATTTAATGCACACGTGGAGGCAAAGAAAGTAAAAGTACCATGTTTTCTGTTTGGGAGGCCAGGGAGAAGAGTCTTCATCTTGAGGTGTTTCCATTGAAATGCCCATATAAAGCACAGGAGATCTGGTCGTTCTACAGGCAACAAAACCTAAATTCCACCCAAGCAGATGGTCTGCTGTAATACCAGCAGCAGCTCTCTAACTCCTAATCTGTAGGGTGTGAGAATAGGAGGGGAAAAAAGGATCACATCTCAGTCTGAGCAATCTGTGGTGCTCATTAGGCTTTGCTTACCCACTAGAACAAAACACAAGTGTGAGTGGCTGTGCCTGATTCATCTGCCCGTGTCTGAAGTTCATGGGACACTAAGTTAGAAGCAGTTGTTAGTGGGATAGTGCAGAACATTAACGTGCAGCTTCCAGGTGCACTGAACATGCAGAATTCTGTTGAGATGCTCTTTTTTTTTATAGCTGTTCATGCAGTAGCTGTTGTGGATTTTAGTTGGATTTAGTGGATAGGGAGCTGTTTAGTCCTTCAAGCTGCTTGCAGCGTTAAAACTTGAATACAGTGTGCTTCAAACATCTTATTTGCAGTTGTGCTGTCTTGCAGTTAATGGCTTTAAGCAGTTACAGCAGTAGGGTCCCTGTTTCCTTGGGTTTAACAGACACTGAAATCTGTGTGAAAAGTGAATGGGAGGGAGATTTCCCATCACATTAAGGCCAAACAAGTTCATGGCTTCCCTTAATTGCAGAATAACTCTTGCAACATCAGTAATCTGGTAGTTCATGACTAACACCAAGTGCCTGAGTAACACTGAGCATCTGGGAACCAGAAAGTTTGGAATGACCTGGAATAAGTGCAGCCTGGGACCATACTGGAAGAACTCTGATTTAGGGGCCTTTGAAAAAAACTTACTTTAAATTTCTCATTTGAAAGCCTGATCTCTTGTATAAAACTGATAAAAATGTTTGCTGTCCTGAATCCTTGAAGGGAGAGTCAGCAATTCCAGTGAAGATTATGATCACAGTTTAAAGATGTGCAGCTATTACGGAATTTGAATTAGACCTCTCTGATTCAGATTTTTGTTTTTTATTTCTTAGCTTGAAGATGCTGGTTCCAATAGTTTAGATAACCTACTAAGTAGATACATCACAGGCAGCCACCTCCCCCCACAGCCCACGAGTACCATGAATCCCTCTCCAGGACCTTCAGCTCTGTCTCCAGGGTCATCAGGTAAATGTGATGGGTGTTCGTGGTATTGAAGTTGAAAACAATCGCTTACCATTTTCTACCAAAAGGAAAACGATGTTTTATTTGAAGTTTATTTTGCTCAGAAATAGATTCTTCTGGAAATTTAAATTTTTACCCTCCTTCAGGAAAGTTTTTATAGTAACAAACTGCCAGCCCACGACTGAAGTATTCCAGAGACACGTAGAAAGAATATTTTTGTCCTGTGTTACCACAATCCTTGTTCTTTTTTTGTGCATCAGAGGACATAGTTCAGTTATTATCCCCAAATGATGACTGGCTGGACCATTCTGAGGTATGAGAAGTAAGTTCCTAGAATGGCTTAGTCACAGAAATAACACCCACCAATCATTTGAACAGGGTCATTCTGAGTATAACCAGTTAATGACAGAGATTTCATTGTGGACATGAACAAATTAGGCCACCAGTACCTAAGGCTGAGTTATTTAAATATTGAAAATGTCCGTTTTTATTAGTTAGAAGATGGTTTCAGTCACTAGGAAGAAGTTTTTCCTTTTGGGGGTGGGCAGGCCCTGGCACAGGTTACCCAGAGAAGCTGTGACTGCCCCTGGATCCCTGGAAGTGTCCAAGGCCAGGTTGGACGGGGCTTGGAGCACCCTGGGCTGGTGGAAGGTGTCCCTGCCCATGGCAGGGGGTGGCACTGGATGACTTTTAAGTTCCCAAACCATTCTGGGATTTCTTTATGTGTCTCTCTTGGTCTTCCCTCCAAGATGCTGTGGATGAATGGGTGCAGCAGTGGGACTTCCTGTGTTTCTCAAAACCTGCATGCAAACCATTCAGAATTTGCTTTTTTGACTTTATTGGTGCCTATCAGTGCATAAAATTTGATGGCATGGTGGGCTGAAGGCTTTAGCACTGTTTGGATTAACTGAAATAATTACTGAGTCTCTTATCAACCATGTGTTGTCTTTTTTTTTTTGATTTAATATGATCCGATCAAATGACGAAGAACAGCTGACTTAGGTGACTTATTAGATTAGGCTATTTTAGCAGCATTTCTGGTGTTACTCAGCACTAGTCACTGTACAGCAGAATGTAAATTTGTACCAAGTCAACTTCTGTGCTGCTACTTTGCAGGTTTATCCAACTCCCACACTCCGGTGAGGCCACCCAGTACCTCCAGCACAGGCAGCAGAGGAAGGTGAGTGAATGTGTCACATTAACACTGCCAGGCTGAAAATTCAGACATGAAGAATTAAAAAAAAAAAAAAAAAAGAAGTGGCAGTGGATTAATAGGGCTTTGATATAATTATGGCTCAAAAACAGAAGAATGCTTACATGAAGATTTATATTTAATAATTTTTTTCCCTTCTCTTTGATTCTCTGTTGTAAACTCGAGCTTTTGTAAATGTTCTGACATGCTTTCCCTTTCATTTGGCAAACAGTTACCTAAATTTCTTTGCCCTGATGGTTTCTCCCCTTATTTATGTGCTGGTGTCTTTCTAGCTGTGGCTCCTCGGGCAGAACTGCTGAGAAAACTGGTGTGAACTTCAAGGCTGACCAAGTGAAAGTAAAGCAAGAGCCAGGCACAGAGGAAGAGATCTGCAGCTTCTCAGGAACAGTAAAACAGGAAAAAACAGAGGATGGCAGAAGGAGTGCTTGCATGGTAAAGTTAGTTTATGCAACAATATGTTGTGGTTGTCCTAGCAGCATGTTTAAGGATTTGGAAATCAAGAAAAAAGGGGAATTTTACTCATAACCCTCATTCTCAGAGGTGCTTTCTCTCTGCCAGGCACAGGGTACCCTGTCATGTAAATTTTATCTTTAGCTATTAAAATTAAATACTCATAGTGTAGTGAGTTTGCTGCTTTTAATCCTTAATTAATAAAAGCAGTAAGTCACCTGCTAATAGTAGTTCCTGGATATTCACCCATATGTAATTACAGTCAGAAATCTCCCAATCAGTCAGAAGTTCTTACGCCAGAGCATAAATAAAATATTCATGCAAGAGAATATTTTTCAGTGTTTCCCAGCTATGCTTGATTTAATGGGATTGTGTATTGGGAGCAGGGTGGTAGATTGGAGGATCAGTGTGTTTGGCCTGAAAGCTTATCGTGTTGTATATCAGGGGAGATGAGTGTGTTCTTGGAAGGAAAGACCTGTGAAAAAGCAGCTCAGCTCTTCATAATGATTCCCCACTTATTCTGGGATATGAATGTAGTCCCTTTGAACACTGGATGGCTTTTGAATTCCAGCACCTGGAGGAAGATTCCCTTCTAAAATCGCCTCTCTCCGCTTCTCGTTTCAGCTCAGCAGCCCCGAGAGCAGCTTGACGCCCCCGCTATCCACCACCTTGCACCTGGAAAGCGAACTGGAAGCCTTGGGAAGCCTGGAAAACCACGTGAAGACAGAGCCAGGGGATCTGAGCGAGAGCTGCAAGCAGTCTGGGCACGGGCTGGTGAACGGCAAGTCCCCCGTGCGCAGCCTCATGCACCGCTCGGCCCGCGCGGGAGGGGAGGGCAACAACAAGGACGACGACCCCAACGAGGACTGGTGTGCTGTGTGCCAGAACGGGGGGGACCTGCTGTGCTGTGAGAAGTGCCCCAAGGTGTTTCACCTCACCTGCCACGTACCGACACTCCTCAGCTTCCCCAGGTACGGGAGGGGTCGCTGCCGGCCCGCGGGACGCGGGCTCGTTCACGGGGGAGGTTGTCCTCAGTGCCACAACTGGTTTGTCACCCAACACCAGCTGGTTCTGGGTGATTCCTTGTGGTAAAACTTTCAGTAAGGCTTGTAGTGACTTTTCCAATACCTGCCTGAATTGTTTCTACGTGGGCAGTGTTAGGTGATGAACACGTGATGTCTCACTCTCATCTTCCCTTAAAATAAACTTTACGTAAGAGTGGTGGTGTAAAGTATTAACACATCATTGGGAGAGGAATATGAGGGCAGGAAAAGTGGCCTTGACTGGCAGGATTATTGTGAGCATTGAGGGTTATTCCTTAGCTTTGGAAATTCAAGTCTTTACTGCAGTAGAGTGTGAATCTGTAAGAGTGAAAAATCCTTGTAGTCACTGATGAGAATTTGCCCCTGGATATCTGCAATAATTGTGGTTTTTCTCTTTAGTGGAGAGTGGATATGTACATTCTGCAGAGATCTGAGCAAACCTGAAGTAGAATATGATTGTGACAACTCACAGCACAGCAAGAAGGGGAAAACAGCACAAGGCCTGAGTCCTGTGGACCAAAGGGTAGGTCTCAAATCTGCAGGAATCTGCTTCCTAGGAAAAAGTACTTTCTCAGATTAGCTCCCCCTCCACTGTTTGGAGATGGTTTTGCTGTGGCTGCAGCCAATTAAATGTAGATGTGGCTTTTGCAAACCAACCCCAAATGATTATGATGAGATTTTTCTCGCTGTGAGATCTGGCCACATCTCCAGGTGTTGGTGACTGGGAATGTTCTAATACATTTGGACTGTAATCACTTAGTAGCTAAAATTTTATGTAAACACATATTCTGTATTTAAGTGCATCATTTAATGCGTTCTTAATTAAAATTCTTGGCATTTAGCATCGATGTAACCTTCATAAAATAGTTCTGGGAGCTTGGTGTGTTAAGTCCACGCTGTGAGAGGTGCTGCGGGTGCATTTTTGGGGAAGGCCTTGACAGTCAGAATTAATTTCAGCTTTACCAATCAGCCTGTGTGTGTGAAGTGTTCTCAAATTCCTCCAAAGGAACTACAAGCAGAAGGAAATAAAATATTTCAGCAGAGAGTTTATAGAAACCTCTGGTTTTGGTTTCAGATTGTTTGATTTTGTCTTGTGGGGAAAAGAGAGAAGTCTGTAGCTCGGTCCTGTCCTGTTACATGTGGTTGTGATTGGACAAAAGCAGTAAAAGTAGTGGTACTTGGTTTGTTTGTTTGTTTGTTTTTTTAATTTGCAGTAGATTAGCATGCCCTCTCCATGTTTAATTTTAGCCCTTGGCTTTTGTTTAGGAAGAAGAAAGCAAAGAGGAAGTTAGTGAATGATTAAATGATGTTCTGCCTCTCAACTCTGCCCTCCTGAAAATTATAACTTTCTTCATTAAGCTTTTGGGGGTTGCATCTAAAGTTTCTAGTACTAAGCTGTTGAAGTAACAAACCTATTTAAAATAGGGAGGTGTGAATTTGTTTGCTAAGGAGAAATTAAGAGTATTAATCTGAAGCTGTTTCTTCCTTTATAGAAATGTGAACGACTCCTGCTTTACCTGTATTGCCACGAGCTGAGCATTGAATTTCAAGAGCCAGTCCCAGCCTCGGTGAGTGTCCTGGAAAACACTTTGTGATTTATTTCTGATATGTAACATCCCTGAAAGCCTGGAGTTGAAGGAACTGACTGCACTAGAAGCACGTCTCCCTTGATCAATCTGAAAGTTCTGGCAGTCATCCAGCATTTTGTGATACTGAAAAGCTGATGCTGTAGCTTCCCCATGCAGATGCTTCACTGCCAGTCTCCAAAACAGATATTTAAAAATACTTTCAATTAGCAGTTATTGACTTGGAAGAGGATGTCTGAGGATACCCATGAAATTCAAAATGCTTTCTTTGGGACAGCTCTTGTTTTTTCTTTCTGGACAAGCTTTTGAATGAAAAAGAGGAAAGAAACTGCTTTGACTCTTCTGGTTTCAACTGTAAAAGAAGTAATTGTGATGAGAAGCCTTTCTGTGCTGTGATAGATGTAGAATAATGGAATAATTTGGGTTGGAAGGGACCTTAAAGCTCATCTTATTCCACCCCTGCCCTGGGCAGGGACACCTTCCACCAGCCCAGGTTGCTCCAAGCCCCGTCCAACCTGGCCTTGGACACTTCCAGGGATGGGGCAGCCACAGCTTCTCTGGGCAGCCTGTGCCAGGGCCTGCCCACCCTCACAGGGAGGGATTCCTTCCCAATAATCCCATCTAACCCCATTCCCTCTTGTACTGTCCCTCCATACCCTTATAAAGCACTTTTTAAACAGTTTGAGGGAAGGAAATTCTTTTTATTAAGTGTGGGACATTGATACCTTAACTCAACTACTTCCTTGAGCTCTGTGGTGATTTTAATGATAAATGATAATGATGAATGACTGTTTGTGTTTCACAGATACCAAACTACTATAAAATTATAAAGAAACCCATGGATTTATCCACGGTGAAGAAGAAGCTGCAGAAGAAGCATTCCCAGCACTACCAGACCCCCGAGGATTTCGTGGCGGACGTCCGGTTGATCTTCAAGAACTGTGAACGGTTTAATGAAGTATGTTAACTTCCAATCCCAGCACACTGCTCTTTCAGATGAAGGTTTATTTCATTTAGATTTATTTCCACGTGGTTGTGCAGCTCCTCCAGTTTAAAGGCTCTGCTTCCAGTCTTAACTTCTGCTTTTGGAGCAGATGCCGAATCAGACACGTCAAAAACAAACCAAACCAAGGAATACTTCCCATTTTTAGTTAAGTTGGGAGTTCAGCCTTTCACAGAGGGAGCTCTTAAAATGCTTTCACTGGTATAAATCTCTGACTAAGGGGCAGGGTGACCCTGTGTGAAATGCTTAGAAAGTGTGGTAATAAAGACAAACAAAGTCCTCAAAGCTGCTTCAAGCTCTACAGATGATTGTTTTACACTCATGAAATGTGGTAAATTCTACTGAGGAGCTTCCTCTGCTGAAGAGTGCTGAAAAACATTCTGGTTCTGGTACTTCACAGAGGCTGAATACAGAAAAGCTTTAAGGTTGTTATTGCCAGTATTGACCTTACTGCTTTAGCTCCTGGGTAGTTGGGCTCTCACAAAAACCGGTTTTCAGTGGATAGGTTGGGTATGGAGTCATATCTTTTACTAATTTTGCAATGATCCCATCTCATAATGAAATATTTGTACCTTAAATGTGAAGTGTGATGGGGAGATGAACTACCTGAGTGTCACTGCTAATGGGGCAAGGGAGAAATAATGTGAATATTACCAAAAAATGGTGAGACAAGTAGGAGCTCAGAGAGTTCCTAACTTCTGACAAAAGGCATCACAGGGAGTGGCTTTATTCTGGCCTTAAAAATGCATAAACAGGCCAGTATTTCTCTGTACAATATAACCTGAATTTGCAATGTTTGGGCTGCACTTCTGGCTCTGTGCAGGAGTAAATTGAAGGGACTGTACAGGGCTGCAATTAAAATCCCACTAGTGAAAATCAAGGGTAATGATGTGATGCTGTAAATGCTCACAAGCATTTGGGACTTTGACAGCCCTGGCTTCTTTATGTCTCTGCATTAGATGGAGGTTCATGAGCACTGGGGAAGAAGTTGCAATTATGTGAACTTCTCAATCAAGGGAATTAATGAAGCAGCTACTGTAGAGTAAAACAAGCTGCAGCTCTCAGGGACCAGAGTAAAAGAAGGGAGAAAGGACTAAGGGGTGTGGTGTTCTTTTTCTTATTTTTCTTTTTTTTTTTAAAACAAAAAAGGTGTTTCAGCTTGTCTGGCTTATGGCAGATGTTGAGTCCCCCTGACCTCTCATATGAGATATGATCTCATCATATCTAGTGCCTCTAAGCCAAATGCTTTTAAAAAACCAGAAATCCAAGAGGGCTCAGACCCCTGGAAAGCAGTTTTCCTGGAGCACTTCCCTCCAGAGAGAGACTTGCCACCAAAATGTCCAGGCAACTAAAATTTAGAACCAGGAAAGCAGTCATGAGCAGAAAATGACTGAGAGCCACTTATCTGTGCAAGAGTTGTGTGTTTTGTTGAAGGTTTATTTACCAACCTAAGACTGTCTTAAACCTGCTGCCTCTTAAGTTTGGGAACTAAAGAGCTCAGCCCATAACAAACTGGTGGTGTTTGTTATGGCTGACTTTAGTCATCCAATCCTATGCAATCTGGTAACTTTAGGAAGGATTATAATTTCATTTTTTTTGACTCTGGTATCCTTTTTAGATGATGAAAGTTGTTCAAGTTTATGCAGAAACACAAGAGATTAATTTGAAGGTAAGCTTTTCAGACCATGCACACTTGGTGAAGGGATGTGCATTTCCAACAGGTGAATATTCCTGTCTTCTTTCATTCACAGGCTGATTCAGAAGTAGCACAGGCAGGGAAGGCAGTTGCATTATACTTTGAAGATAAACTTTCAGAGATCTACCCAGACAGGACCTTCCAGCCTTTGCCTGAATTTGAGCAGGAAGAGGATGATGGTGAAATAACTGAGGACTCCGATGAAGATTTTATACAACCACGTAGAAAACGCCTAAAATCAGATGAGAGACCAGTGCATATAAAGTAATCTAATGATATGGACCTGAAATTTATTGTAAAAACTGTTATTTAAGTGTTCCTGGAATATTATCATGCCTACAGTGGCCATCTTGAAGAAGCTGATAGCTTTTTAAACAGTATTAGATTACAAAAAAACACTTGTACAGAAAAACATTCGCATCAAAAGGGGAAAAAAACTGTGTTGTAAATTTTTAGTGGTTTGTAATTTTTTTTTTCTTTTCCTTGATCCTTTCTTTTCCTGATGGAGGGGACACACTCATCCTGGTCTCACAGATAGAGGTGGAGGAAATGTTGAAGAGAAGCAGATTTGATAAGAGATGTTCCATGTACAGATGAGACTTTGTAGGAGAACGTTCTGCAGGACTGGACCAATACAGTGACTTTTTCTTGCATTACACTGCAGTGTAAACTGTGAGCAAAGCCCCTGCAATCCCCTCTCTGTGTGAACTCAAGTGTGTGTTGGTCATTGCTTTGGTCACCTCATTGGAGCAGAATTGTGAATAACTGGTCTTCTGTGTCGATCAATTGTTGGCATTTTACTTTCTTTACTCCATTTTATGTGTAGCAAAAGGAAAAAGAAAAATATCATTAAACTGTTCTGAAGTGGCAAGTGCAGGAATGTGAGTTTTTGACAGGTAGGAAGAGCTAAGCTGGTGGCAACAACCTCTTTCAGTAGGATGAGGTGTATTTATTAAAATCCTGTGCCCAGAACATTTTAATGGAGTTCATGGCAGAAGTCTCAGCGTCGTCATCTGTCCCTGATCCCCCTGATGAGGCAGAATGTTCTTTCCAGTATTCATTCTCTAGTTTTCTGTGCTTAAAATATAGACTGAAGAGGTAATAACTGGTTGGGGTGTTTTTCCAGTCTTCCTAAATATCAGTTTCTAATAGACCACTCGGCAGACAATAACATATTAACTACCAAATGTGTAAAATTTCCTGTATTCACTTTGTCTTATTTGTAAATAATGAATTGAGATTTCTTGCAGCTCAGCAACATTTGCTGAACTGTTTTTAAGCTAATATGTATTCTTATTGATTGTTCCTATCAAGAAAAGATTTGTAATATATGCTATTTCTAACATTGCATTCATTTTGAGGTTCTGTCTTATTTTTCTTAAGAGTTACTTCTCAGAACTTTCTTCAGAAGCAGCTTGCGAGCGAAATGTCCAGAAAGATTGGAATTCAGTCTGAGTTTTGGGTCACCTGTCCCTCCGCTGAACAAAGCACTTGCACAGACCAGGATTTGGCTTGGAGTGGGTTTCTGGTCAAACAGGGAAAACAGAACAATCTCCCAAATCCCCTCGAGGCACCTCTGCAGTGCCTTCCCCTCGGACACTGCCTTCCTCCCTGTGCAATCAGGGTCAGCACAAGGATTTATAGTTTTGCGTGGTTGTTTTCTTTCCTGACAGAAGTCAATACTAGAAATAATGAATGTCATTTCTGGCCTTCATCTCGCTCTTGCTGAAGTAAGCTGAAGAACTCATGTGATCAGATGAGCTCGAGTTGACAGACTCTAAATTTGCCGTAGTTTGGTGTGAATACAACAATTTCTGTGGTCAATCCCTGGGGCTTTGGTGTCCTCAGCAACTCCTGTGACGTTGGACACACTTTACCATAATGGTAAAGAGAAGTGTTTGAGCACAATATCAGATTTGAGATCACTGCAGATTTGGTTGCTTTTCATAAGAACCGAGTCTGTACATTGGGACTCCCCCTCTGTCACAAAAATATGAGGGGACTGAAGGTATTTGTGACTTCCAGCTCGCTTTTACACTCAAATGTTACAGTCAAACCGGTGGGGTTTTTTCTCCATTTCTCAGATATTAACAACAGTGATGGTTCAAATTGAATTTTTAGCAGTTTGTACGTGAAAAGAAGAGGAAAAAGGAATTCCATTTCAACACCTTAAATTGACAAAAGGGCAAAAGCTTTGCCCACAGAAAGGCTGACGTGTGTGAATAGGACACTGGTAGTGACAAGGGATCATTTCATGGCTCTGTGTATTGCCTATTTATGCATTTCTAGTTTCTCAGCTTTTCATTTTGCAAAAGGAATATTATTAAAATTATCATGAAAATAAGATTTTGGTGAATTCTCTTCAATCGGGGGTCCCTGTTTTTATGGCGCTTGCGCTCTGTGGGTTTTCTGGACCTCCAGGGCCTCAGCTTTTGAACTGTTCCCTGGGCACCAGCCATGGATTGAATCCTGCAGAGATCCCCCCCCAGCCTGAGCCAGAGCGTGGGATGGGCACGGTGGGATCCCCTGGGGAAGGAGGAGGCTCGTGCTCCCCAACTGCTGCAGGAACAGGACCCTCTGCCTCCCACCCAGACCCCAGAGCTCCTTGTTTTGGGGCAGCCTCTCTTTTGGGGCTCTCCAATCAATTCACTCCCTACAACAGGCAGGAAATTAGTCCAGCTCTAGGTCAGGAGTTTCTGCCCCCCAAGGAGTGAAGTTGAACTTGGCCTCACTGAGTCTGAGCCCTTCTGCACAGACCCCACTGAACCCTCCAGAACTGCTCCTTCCATCCATCCCCCCTCTTTGGGGATCCACAGCTGATGTGGAATTTTGAATGTATGCAGGAAATCTCAACTGTATCTTTTGTTTATAAATCTTTTTTCCCTCCCCCCCCCCCTTCACTTTGGAACTCCCAAATCAACGATTCAGTGATGGTTTTGAAAGCAGCCAAGTTCTGTTTAAAGAGGCTTGAAAGGGTAGATAAGCTCTGCTGATCTATTTTCCTGATCCTGTAGGTTGGGTGTTCATCCAGAACTGGGAAGGGTTTGCTCAGTTTTTGGTGTCTCACCGTGTGGAACTTGTTCAGGAGCAAATTAAGGGGTTTGTGTTAATGAGTCGCTGATTCTCGTTAATGAGTGGCTGCTCCATGTGGGAGTGATTTTACCTGGGGATTTAGAGCACAACTTTAACATCAGGAAAACTTGGAAAAGACAGTGCCAGCCCCTTGGTGTGATCCCAGCGCTCCAAGGGGGAGTCTGGCTCTTGGCTTAAACTCTGCTGTGGTTTAAAACACTCGAAAAAATCCGTGGCTCAGTTTCTGTTGTGAATGACCCCAAAGTTGAGTTAATCCTAAGAAGTAAAAGGCAACTTGCTTTTGAAATAGGAGTGAGAAGTGCACAGTGTGGGCTTCCCAGTTGCCTCAGAGGTAATTCCTGGTGATTAGTGCTAATTCCACCAGCTGAATGGGTTCAGGGGTTTTATTTAAATATGCCCTGGAACTAAGTGGCCTGGAGCATAAGAAGGCAGAGTTATTATCCAAAAAAAAAAAAGGATGTTCCCCCAATTTCTGCAAAGAGAAATGCTCAGTTCAGTGTGGGGAGTTGTTCTCTGTGTGGGACATCACCACTGCTGGTCCTTGTGACACTTGCCTGTCACACACTTTGTGCTGCATCAGGGAGATGTTTTATAAACAGGGAGATGTTTTATAAACATTTCTGCAAGTCACTGGAGCACAAGTCCTTAAAATGAGCCCAAATTTCTGTTTCATCACCTGGTTTCTTGTCTGACCTCAAAAGGTTGGGTTATGGCAGCAATATTTTGAAGCTCCCTGTAAGGTGTTGGCTTTTCCAGTTGGCCTGTCGTTGTTTTTCCTAATCTCTTCCTTGGAAAAAAGCAATAAAAGTGCTTTGTCTGCTGCCTGTCAACATGACAGGAATCCTTTCCTTGGGGTAGTGATTTTGTAGGGAAGTTTGTGTGCAAATCACCAAGCTTTTAAAACCAGAGTGTGCAGCAGTTATTGACAGCATAAGCATGGCATTTTATTTTAAAAACTGGGGGAAGCTCCATATTTTTTTAAGGAGTAGGTGTTTGAGCAAATAATGGAGGTACTTTTTTAAAATAAATGTGTTTATGCCACAGTTTGCAGAGACATATTTCAGATGGGGGATACAGATTGTGTCTTTGGGTACGGTGATTTATTTTATCTTCTCAAAGTGCGTGTACAGAAACTCTTCCATCCACTTCCAGCTTGCTTATGGGGATCCTACTTTCTATGCTTTCTAATGTATCAGGATTGAATTATCTTTCCAAAATGGCAGTTCATTTGGGAATCTTTGTTATAAGTGAACTATAAAATGCCTGAAATGCAGTTTTGGCCTTTTCTACCGAGTGATCTCCCAGCTCGAGGCTGCTGTCTGTAGAATTTATGGAATTTCTACAAGGAGGGAGGTACTGAAATATTTTGTAAGCTGGACTTGTTGCAGGATTCAGCCTGGAGTGACCTGCCCTGACACCTCTGCTGGCCTGCAGAGGGGGGGATTTTTAAGGTTCAGAACACCATGACACGTGTATATAATCCTATACAGATCTGTGCAGTTCAAAGCTTGTTTTCCATGTAAACGTGCTCCTGGAAGGGTGAAATTCATGGCATTCTTGGATTCTTCAATGCTTCCAGTATTGGAACTGGTTCTTTTTTGCACATTGTAGACTTGGCTCATCTTTTGATATGATTCTTCAAAAAAACCAAGTGCTGTTTCTGTGATACTGTATTATCTGAATCATCATATTTAACTTTTTTTTTTTAAAAAAAAGTTATCGTTTCTAATTGTTCTGTTCCTGTGGTTTTTGCTGGTGTGTAATTAAAAAACCCGAATTTTTTCTTTCCCTGGTTATTTAATACTTTGGCTGCCTGTAAATATCTCTTGTTAAGTGCTCTGGAATGTGCTGTAGGAGTTGTATTAGCTCAGTTTAAAGCATTGTTTGAAACCTATTTTGGTTTGGTTATTTCTATTAAATCCGAAAAATCACTCTTTCAATTTGAGTCTTCCTTTTTTTTTTTTTTTTTTTGGCACATCATTAGGTACAGACTCACATCTGGCAAAAGACTTTTCTGACACCTGCAGTGTGGAAATTGGGTGAAAATGGGGCTGCAGGAGCTCAGATGTGCCCAGCTGGGGCTGCAGGTTCCAGACAGAAAATGATTTGGCACCTTGGTGTGAAACGAAGGGTTTGGAAGGTTTCTCAGGGGTTTTGTTTTTTTTTTTTAGTGCTGCTTTTCATCCTGAAACTGGAGGGGACAGTTGAAGGTGTGCAGCTCCCAGGGCTGCTGTTCTGGGGATGGGATGGGATGGGATGGGATGGGATGGGATGGGATGGGATGGGATGGGATGGGATGGGATGGGATGGGATGGGATGGGATGGGATGGGATGGTTCCCAACGGAGCTGACAGCACTGCTGGGGGTGGTTTTGAGGGGTTGTTACCCCAGTAAACACTGGGAGAATGAAGAGGGAGCTGAACTGGATTGCTGTGTGACCCCTGAGGGTGACACCTCGCCCGCCCTCTCTGTCAGTGGTGAAGACAAATCCCTTTTCTTGTGGGGATGTCACTACTGGAGCAGTCTCCTGGCTTACCAGAACTAAAAGCAGAATTGTGCCCACAGATCTTGGGCTATGGCCCACGTCATCTGCAGCTCAGCAATTGGAATTAGGAACTTACCTGGTTTAAGGAGCCATGAAATGACTGCAGCTACTCCAGGCACCAGCATCAGTTGTGCTCCAGCTGCAAGACCTGCAAGAAGAAAGCAGTGTGAGCTTCACCTCAGCTGAAATTACCTCTGAATGATTTTTTTTTTGCAGTCAGTGACAGGCCTGGCAACCTGGAATGCCAACCAGCTTGGAGGTGTGTCTGTGCTTCCATAACCTGTGCAGCTGGTGAAGGCTCTGATCCAAGCAGGTTTGTTGTGTATCAGCATTTACCTCCAGGCTGGAGTTCACAACTAACTTGCATTTTTCTCTCATTATCTGTTTATTCTTTAGGTGCTTGTGGTGGCTCAGTGTCACAGGAGCTCCATGATGACAGCGCTGCCTTCCAGAAGAGGTTCAGTTGCCTTCACCAAAGCACAGATCTGTTCCTGCTAAAACAAACGACACCCACGTTCCCACCGAGCACTGGGGTGGCCTCTCCAGCCTCTGCAACCACCAGCAAAGGAGCAGGAGCTTTGAAACTAAACGCTTGCTCTTGAGACGGGTTTTGCTGCCAGCACGAGGTGGTGCTGGCTCTGCTGGACGTGAAGGGGTGGCTGATGCTCTGCTCACCCTCTCAACCCATCCCAGGAGGACCCAGGGGCTCTGCTGGCACAGAGGGAGCAGTGGGGGAGTTCTCAGAGGGGTGTTTTGTTTCTCTTTGCCAGCTGCTGCCTCGCTGTGTCCGGAGCACTCCCAGCTCTGCCAGCCCATCTGCTGCAGCTCTGCCAGCCCATCTGCTCCGGCTCTTTCGGTGGGTTGGTGTTGGTCTTTGTGGCTAGACTGGCATCTGTTGCTTTCAGCTCCTCTCTTTGACTCCACTCAGTCCCTGGTTTCACTCCATAAGCTTGCCTGGATTTTTTTCCTTTCCTTTCCTGGCTTTAATTCTCCTGCCCTGCTCCAGTGACACTGAGCTGTTCACCCCTTCACTCGGTGCTGCAAAGCAGTTGCTGATTTTTATTTCCCCTCCAGGGGAGCGTATCTGAATTTCTTCTTCCCATCCCAAAATTCCACCAAGAGTTAGAAACTGCTGCTAAACTGTTCAGCCCCTTGCTGCCATTGCAGAATTCACATCTACTGTAGAATTCCAAAGTGGTTTGGGTTGGGAAGGGAGCTTAAAACTCATCTCATTCCACCCCCTGCCATGGGCAGGAACACCTTCTGGTATCCCAGGTTGC